AGAGGCCATCCCCACACAAGCATAAACCTGCTCCGAGGGACAGGCAGTGATGCTGTGAACGTGAGCCCTGCTTCTTTTCACTGTGAGGAGCAGAAGGGCATTGGCAATGCGTAGTCTGACGGAGGGAAAGGACAATTTGCCAGCGCTGAGTTGTTTGGTTTTTTACTTTGAAAACTGCAGTGCTCTGGCTAAGGGTAAGTGGCTGCGTGGTTGTAGAATGGCATCGTATTGACAGGTGGTGGCTTGGTTTATCTTGCAATTGACAAAAGAACTTGGATTTATTCTGGTTTTGTTTTCCCCCTCTTAGCTTTCACAAAGTCACTTTGAAATCACTCGCTGCTGCAATGTTTAGGTGCCACAGTTTCACAATTTCAGTTCCCAGAGGAGTCCCTCTGCCATCCACTTGGTGCTGGAGTGCTGTGATCGAGTGTTGGTTCAACTCATTGCTCCACTTCTGCAGGAAATGTTGCAAATATATGGCAAAAATGCTGCATCTTACAAAGTGCCCTGAAGAGGGTGAGCCCCATTGGGTTCTTTCATGGGTCGGGTACATGTTGGCTCGTTCTTCAGAAGCCAGTAGTTCCAGGTTTCTCAATCTGATACATGCGTGACTGTGTGTAAACCTAATGCACTGGGTTTTAGATGTCGTCACGAATTCTGAAACAGAGGGGTGCTCTTTGGGAATAAATATCTTAATTTAGATTGGTGCTTGGGTTGAACTGGTCGTGGATAGGGAAATCAGGCTGAAGTGATGGGTTTTCCCATACAAAGGAAGGGGTTATCTAAGTTAATTACTTGTATTACTTATAATTACTTCTCTAATTTTAGATGCAGGTAGCAGCTCCCTTGCACTTCTTGTCCCAGGAGCAGTAGGGATGGTAAGCTGGCTGTCGACACCAAAAGCTGCTCTTCTAGAGGACAACCAAAAGGTAAGAGCACCTTTCCTCTCCTCATGTTCTGCTGGATATTGGCTTCAGGGCATTGCCCACCACCACCTCTGTTCTGGTTGCAGGCAGGGATTGACTTGTGTTTTGCTGTCTACGCTGGGTTATTTTCTCTCTCAACATCAAGGCTAGCACATTGTGGGGTTTTTTCCTGGTTTCTACACCAGTTTTAAAGAGGAGAGGGAGCCAGATCTCCTGCCCAGTCATGTTTACTGCTTTGCTTGCCTCTTTTTGCCTCCATCCTAATTTCTTTTGGTGGTAGGAGATTTCGATACCGTGTCTTCTGCTTATCTTGGAGTGGGGAAGCAGCTGTGTTTGCCTGTCATCCTGTCTCTTGTATGGGGCACTGCTTACTCTGTGTCAATACAGCTCTTGGTGTATGTGAAAGCCTTGGTTTCTACTTTTATTCTATTGGCTTTACGTCCCTACGCCCTATTTTCCTTTCCTGCTCTACCCCTTCCCCTCTGTTACCAGGCTACCAGAGAGAGAGAAACCTTTAACTCTGCAGCATGGCTTCTAGGAAACCTTGATCTTTTAATACACAATATATTCCTTTTATATATATATATGTTCTTTAACCTCACCTCATCGGTCCTCAGAGCTGTCCTTGTTCTTCTCAGCCCTACCCCAAATTCAATTCCAGCCAAGGCTATGTCCTAGCACAAACGAGCCCTTGCGGTGTCTTGGCTGTCC